TGCCTAAATTAATTAGGTCAACAATATGGTTCAGTGACATCTTTGTGAATATTGACACTGCCTATACTTGATGGTTTTTTTTTTTGTTTTTTTTAAAACATCCTTAAACCCTATTGTCGTTTTCGGAGGATGATGGATGTGATGGAGATGGAGATGGATTGGAGAAGATGAGACATTGTGAACAATGGAGAAAAAATAGAATGATTTAGGAAGATGAATAGAATGGTGTAGAAAAAATGAAAAGCATTAAAATTGATGTATTTTGGTGATGAATTTTTTTTAAAAAAAATTATTCTGAAAAATAGGTGTGTGCATATTACACTCAATAACAAAGATTTGGGGGTGACGCTTTAAGGGTGTCAATATTTGTGTTTAAAATACTCTAGGGGGGTAATAGGACCCCCATGAAGTATAAGTGTGTAGTAGAGAATCGGGTAATAGATTGAGGGGGTATTTGACCGTTTTCTCTATTATTTTCTTTCCATGACCAATCATCATCACATTGATTTAGTAGTTACTTGCACCAATGGAATTTGTACCACCAAAACATACTATCTTCATCATTAAATTAATCAAGAAAATGTAGATTTTCTTAATATAACTTTGGACTAGACTAGTTTGCACGTATCTTGACTTAAACTAATTCCACAAGATACATGTTACATCGTATTAATAGCAGATATGAAGTAATTTTGTTCATCAAAACTAAAAAAAATAAAAAGAAATTATATTTTTTCTGTACATAAATCTCAAAAAAAGCCTTCAACATTAGTATTGCCTTTAATTAGATCTCTCGTGGGACATCAAAGTAATATGCCTCCAAAATTTTAATATTTTATTATATTGTTGTCCATATACTTTGCTATCTTTCAATATCATCAAATCAAACATGTTATCATCTTATTCATCTCTTGGATAAGAACAAATCATGTTCATAATTCTTTTCTTATATACCTCCTTTGTGGGAGGGGGGTTGGGGGTCCCAAACATGTTTTTTTTTTTTTTTTTGGTGATAGTATAAACTAAAAGGCTAGACAATGGATAACCAACTAGCCATATCCTAATATCCTATGCCACCACTTTTTTTTTGCTTCTTCTTTTCATGAATACCATTGAATTAAGTTTCATTTTTCACTCCCTCATATATATCTCATGTTGAAGCTCCACCCTAGACCAAATTAAAACTCGATAAGGAAGGAGAGGTTGTTCTAATTCCAGAATCATTTTTCTCTACTTAATTAATATTTTCATGGCTAAACGTCCCCTCATGCATATGACTCCAACACAAAGCCCAATCATGAGCCTAGATCCTTTTAAAACCCCTTTTCTTGATCATGATCAAGTCTATAATAACAATGGAAGTACACTAAACTTGAACATGACATTGATCATTGCTGCCCTAATATGTGCTTTAGTTTGTGCTCTTGGCTTAAATTCCATGTTACATTGTGTGTTTCAATGCACTCAAAGGACTATCTCTGAGCCAGTTGAATGGGTAGCTTCAAAGAGAGTCAACTCTGGACTTAAGAAGAAAGATATGGTTGCTTTGCCAACATCTACCTATAATAATGCAATTTCAAGCACTATATCTTCATCATCATCATCGTCATCGTGTGCTATTTGCTTGTTGGATTTCATGGATGGAGAAAGAATTAGGGTTCTTCCTCAATGTACACATTCTTTCCATGTGGTTTGTGTTGATGAATGGCTACTCTCACATTCTTCTTGCCCTACTTGTAGGCTTCTTCTCAAGTCTAGTAATTGTTTGGGAATTTTCACATCTCTAGTTTAAAATTAATATGTCTTATGATAACTATGAGAGTTGTTTTTTTTTTTAAAAAAAAAAAACATTTTCATCTAAGAGATGAAGTGTTGATGTTTGATTTTGCTTTTATGATAATTGTGTGCTAGCTAGACACTATGTCATTGTAACAAAAAGTTGTTACAATTAGTTCTTGGTAAATTCTACCATAGTAGGAGAGAACTTCGAATATATTCATGTTATATGTTGATGAGGCGGGGTATTAAAGATGATTAATTTTCGATTTAGATGTCACCTTCAGATTTGGAGCGTATTTGATCTTTAAGTTTGAATAAAAGAAAGGGTCAATTGAGGATCAAACATAACATTTTAAGAATACAAGATATATGTATATAATCTAGGAAAAATTACAGAAATTCACATTTTAGTTTATTTATTACATTATCCCCTATAAGTTTTACAAATCTCAAAAATCCCTCATTTTCGCGCATCAGATCAGTGTATCAACGCTTATATTATTATATCTCGCGCATCAGACTAATGTATCAGCGCTTATATTATTGTATCTCGCGCATGTATCAATGATTATATTATTGTATCTCGCGCATCAGATTAATGTATCAGCGCTTATATTATTGTATCCGTTTGAGGAATTTCTGTAATTATAAACTTTTAAGGGATAAATTGTAATTTTACCTTAAAAGTATGTGATTTCTGTAATTTGCCCAATAATCTATCATAATTGCCCTAATTCTTTTTCAAAAGTTTAGCAATGAAATGTAACTTTAATTACAATAATTGAGAGTTATTTTTATGATAGATGAAACAACATGCCACTAATACTGAAAAGAAAGAAGGCCACATGAAACATGATCAACTTTTTTATGCCCTCTTTTTTTCAACTTTTGGACAATTTCCACTTAAAAGTTTTTCAAATAAATGGACTTAATTTGAAGTATTACTTTTGGTACTTTATTAGACTAATTGTCTTATGAGTTTATTTTCATTAATTTAATCCAAATTAAAGAATCTTAGGTGTAGCAAGAAAATACAAAATATTGAAACGACGTCTTTCCACCACAAATTAAAGGTACTCTTTATTGGGATTATCCTCCAAGATATTCTTTCTTATCACAAAAATTATTTGGGAACTGATACTCCAATCAGTTCATTTCACGCTCTCTATCCGTCTCATTTCAACTATCGTTTTTATTCATTACACATCTATTAAGAAATCATTATAAATACAACGTACAATACTTTACTAAGTTATCCTTTGGTTCCTTTTAAGTATTACTTTTTCTAATTTTTTGAATTCAATTTATATGACTTATTTTTCTTTTTCATCACTTTCAAAAAGAATGACACATTTTTGGAGATCATAGTACTCTAGCTTAGTTGGTTGACTATCTAAACTCTCACCTTATTAGTGAAGGTTCAATTTTCCATATTGTAATCCCCTTCCTCCATCTCCAATTATTTTTATATTTAGTAACAATTTAACTTTAAAATACTCATTTTATCCATAATGAAATAATTTTATAATCACACAAACATCTATGACTTGGTTAGGCCACAAATTTAACAAGTCTTTCATTCTTTTTAAAAATTCGTGTCAAGTCAAACTACATTATATAAATTAGGACGAAATATGATATTAAGGCCTAAGTGTATAATTGACTAAGTGTATAAAAACCACAAAACTAGAAAACCTAATTTAAAAAAAAAATCTTACCTAAAGGGTACGGATATCTAGAAAACCTAAGGGGTCGTTTGGTTTGAATATGAGTTATGATGGGATAAGTTATGTTGGGATAAGTTATGTTGGGATTAGTTATGATGGGATAAGTTGTCCTGGGATTATTTCTTATTGAGTGTTTGGTTTGTTATATTCAAAATAATATATATTGATAAATTTTAAGAACAAGTTGTTTGTTTACAAAATTACCCTTCACTTTATTTAAACTTTTTAAATTTTTCTTTGTGAGCTTTAGTTATTCATTTTTTAAAATAAAACTTTTATTTTTTTTAACTTAAATATTTTTGTTTATGTATTCCCATGATAAGTACCATGTGTATTTAAAAATATAACTTTTTTCTTATTTAGCTTAAAAATAGAACTTTCCTCTTAAGTTTATTAAAGAGAAGAAAATTTATGAGAAATCAAAATAAAATAAACATAAGAATTAGTCAAATAAATTCATAAATAAAAATTATATTTATATAGTATAATTTTTTAATAGAAAAATATGTATAATTATCATAAAAATAAGGAGTAGTAAATATTATTATACATGGTATTAAAAAAAATGTAAATATACATAAATGTAAAAAATGATATATAAAAAGGATTTAAAGGGACATATTTGTCATTTACCTATTCTATCTCGGGATAAGTTATCCCGGGATTACTATACCACCCATGGGGAGGGATAACTTATCCCGGTACTAATTATTAATCCCGGGATAAGTTATCCCGGACTTGCCAACCAAACAACATAATTTTTTTTTTATCCCATCACTATTTCCTTATCCCATCACTATTATTTCTAATCCCTCACACCAAACGAGCCCTAATAGTATTTGACAAAAACTAGCAATCCAACTTTGGGTTGGATATTTTTCTGTTCTCACAAAGTGAAGCCCACAGCTTAGTGTATTCTCACTTTTTTTGCTTTGTTTTTATTTCAATTTCATATAAAGTGATTAAATTTCCTTTTCCATATGTCCCTTTTCTCCCCTATTTGTCTTCACTCTTTGTTTATGTTGTCAACTCACACACATATTGTGTGGTTAAACATACATATCTTTTTATAATGTAGACTCTCCTTCACCACCAGCGAAATCATAATTTTTACGAAGGCAATTTAAAATATAGAAAGATAAACACATGGGGAAGTTTTAGCTCGAATTCGAGGAGTTTCATGCCTTATTAATCAAATTAGACATTACTAGTAGCTAGGCACATTTAGTATAGCTGAACTTGTACAACATGACAAGCCCATGGAGAAAAATGAGTAGAAGATGTCGTTCAAGTTTTGAAATTAGAATTAGCGATATCGACTTGGTCAAATGTGATAAAATAAAAAGTCGACCTAATTAGAGTAATTAAAAACTATGGGGGGTATATATTAAAATTTCGAATTCTTATGAAAAGTTAAAAATGCTGACTGGGAATCATTTTTGGTTCATCAAGAGCAGTCATGAAACACCAATCAATCTTCTGCCTCCAGATATATCAGTATTAGTTTTTGCTCATTTGCCAAATTTAGTAATCAATTAAAACAGCAATGTCTTCAAATTACTAGTTTTTGCTCCCAAAGCAAATTGACTATGACTATAAAATATTTGGTGTAATAAACCATGTATCAGTAAGATAAACAGATCTACATATCCATTTTGCTAACAGTAAGAGCAGCCAGCTCTCCCACTCCAAATTTGCAGACATAAACCAAGACCTTGCTGTCTAGAGCTGTCTCTCATCCAAGTGCTCGGGATGATGGTCTCATATGGCGGTGATGAAAACGTTTTATCTGTGTTACTCTGCAATTCACTCTGATGAACTCTATTTCCTGCACACATCCCAGAAACAATTAGCAAGAAATGTTTTGATGCTCAGTATGTTTCTTTTGAAACAGTATACAAAATGGCATAAGGACAAGTAGGTCGATACATGCAGAGAAAAGATGAGTTCCGTTACTTGAAACCTAAAGCAGGGGAAGTTGATGCATTGTTGTCATTACTTTTCTTTTCTTACAAAAGAAACAAACAGACAGAAGCTTTAATTTTACATTGAAATGAAGAATTTCCAACTGACCAACACCGGAATCAGGAACATGAAGCTCACTATCAAATTACTAGTTTTTGATCCCAAACAATTGGTAACAAGTTTTGGTAATTTTCCGCACATTTTGTTGACCCCAAGGTGTATTGTCAAAATTTATGATCAACTATGATGCCATAAGGAACGTGCACAAAGCTCACTGTCAAAAACTTTAAAGAAAAAGAGATTACTCCGCAATTGTCTGAGTGTCACATGGTTTACACACACTTCAAGACAACATGCAATACTTCTAATTTCAAATAATAAGCAAAGCCCAAACCAGAAAGCCTGGCTTAATTTCAAACAACAAGCAATCTTTACTAACCTGCTACTCTTTTTTGAAGGAACAACTAGTCCCCTTTTCTCAAGGCTTTTAAACCGATCTCTTGCAAGGGTGCAACATCCCTGTTCGAAACAGAAGACAAATCACATAAGAGAAAAACCTTGAAAATAGAAATAAATGTGACAACAGCCAATTTAGAGAAATTGAAATCAGGAATGCAACCTTTAATTTACGGAGGGAACCAGTAATCTCTTCAGACAGTAAAACCTGAGCAGGAGCAGGCACAAATCTGAAATGACAGAGGTCATTAATCTTTTTGTCAACATCGAAGTTATAGCAGGAGTAAAGCAAAACCACAAGAAAATGAGTCTCATTGCTCAGTTCATGCAATCATCATTCTTTCAAACCCCAAGCTCCCAGTTGAAACATTTTTAAGACTTACAACCATAAGAATTCCTTTGAAATCTGATGTTCCATAAAAACACTTTTTCACAGCAAATCAATTGTTGAATTTTTTTTACTTCAAAATGAAACAGCACATACTTGCGCTTTCCCAAGCGTGGTGGACAAGATTTTAGTTTTTCTTTTATAGCAGTAACACGACGTAGATGTCGTTTCTGTTTTTCTCCTTCCTCTCTCTCTATTTCTTGAATTATATCCGGTAAGCTGCAGGCACAAGAACATATCAGAATCTATACAAAAGGCAAATTCTATTTAACTGGAATATGATTAGCCTGATAATCCAAATATTAGCGAACCTATCAATCACTTTGGAGAGTTGTGCTGCTTTTGTTGCTTCAGCTTCTGCTTTCAACTGTTCTTTGCGTCTAGCCCGTCGATTCTTCTCAACCTGTGTCAGCATTTTGGGCTTTTGCGACCTGAATAAAGTTCAAAAAATGATGTATAATAACATTTAGTGTTAAATGAAAGATCTGACGAATAGCAATAATGCACTCAATGTAACATGGATTGCCAACGAAGCTGAAGATAGCGCACTGCAAACTTTCAGAACACATAACTGACTTACAAAAAAGAAAATGTTGAACACTGGTTCACTCTACAACTGTTCATCATTAGGACATTTGGATCATGACCACCAAAGGAAACAGATATGACGTCGGATATCACACTTACTGGGGACTTAGCTCACAATCTAACTCAGCTAGATTAAGGATCAAACCTCTTTACATTTAAAAATATGATTTCAGATGTAGTTGACTTAAACTGAAGTCTGAACATATCCAAGCAACCAAATATTAGTGATATACAATGTACTCATTCAGCATCTTTAACCAAATATAAAGGATGTTCCTTGCACCCAAGGGTGTGGCCTAGCGTCAATGAAGTGGTTGAGAACCCTGAGGTCTCAGGTTCAAAACTCAGTGGAGACAAAAAACACTAGGTGATTCTTCCCATCTGTCCTAGCTTTGGTGGAAGAAAATAAGAACTACTACTAATGCTGGAAATAAGAGCTTCTTCCCCACCAGCAGCAAAAAGTAAACAAACAGAACAGGGCAAAACTGGATTCAAATAAATAAGGATGAAGGAAGCATGAGGTCTTAGACCATCAGTGGTAGCGGTACATATATAGCCTTTGACCTCATAAACATCCATCAGCTTAGGACTATGTGAAAACTATTAAACATGCAAAGCCACATAAAATGAGATTGTGTTTCTAGTGAGCATGAATGAAAAGGAATTGGAAGTAGAATGCGACAATTATGAGCCCCTAAACAAAAACGAGGACAAGGCAACTCATGTTAGCCTTGTAAAGTTATAGAAAATTTTTTAGGACTTCAGGCTAATTGGGTATAACCAGTGTCCAGAGATTGAAATGTCTGGACACTGGTTAATTATGTGACACTGGTTAAAAAATTTAGGCAACTCATGTAGATTTAACATATCAAACTGTCACATAATTAATTTCGCTGAAGCCTAAAGCCTAAAGCCTAAAGATTGTCAAAGAAGCCTCTATTCACTATACAAATATGAATAGACACAGGTGAGTAAATTTTAAGTACTCCAGAATACTAAGCTAGCAAGGAATAGAACATGTTTCAACCGCTAATGCTATCATGACAGACGAGCAATATAGAAGCTTACCTTTTATCCAAATCTGTTTTTCCGTCTTCCACTAGATTTTCATTCTCCGTGTCACTCCCACTGTCCGCTTCAAGGAAATACATCTGAGGCAAATGAATCTTCAGTGTATGCTTTACCGAGTATAAGAAAACATTGCCCATGATGCATCTGCAACAGCCATGGTCAAAAGTACTAACAAGAAATTAACAGCTTAAACTTACATCTACTTCATTAACTGCTTCTCCAGGAACAACCAGTGGAATAGGCTCCGGCCCCAATTCATTTCTATAAATTTTCTGCATTTCATCTGCAACAGCACAAGCTAGTGCATCCTGAATTGAGAAGACACGGACGGAGCGAATTATTAATTGCATGGACTAGGAGCTCGGTAATAGCAAAATATGACATACAGAAGAAATTTTACCTGATGACTTTCGGATGGCGGATTGAATGAGCATCCTGGAGGCTCAACTTCCACAGCAGGTATAACAGAAGTCTTGGGCTTCTGTCACAGGCAATGCATATAAAATTGATTACACATACTAATGCAGATTTGTCTCTTCCCTTTTCGAAAAGTAAACTGATGCAAAATTGTTCTAGGAAAGTTATAAGTTTACAATTCAAATGCTCGAGCTTTAGGACAAAAAATAAATAACATACACAGTTAAGATAATAAAGAAATGAAACTAAGAAGAAGAAGACAGGGAGGTACAAAAAATATACACCGAGGGATCGCTAGAGACAAGTTATGCGAGGACTGTAATGTAGGGATTGTATCTTAGGGATTAGAGTAATACAAGGATTCTAATGCATGCATTATATTGTAGGTTAAATACGTGTTCTGTTTAATTTAAGAAAATGATCAAATATGACAGCTATTTTGGTCATTGTAGTTGTTTTAATACTGAGTTTATAACATCATAGTACTGCTACCAAACAAGCTTGTACCAGCCAACCCACCCCAGCTGCTGAAAAGGGAAAATTATGAAAAGACTTCACCCCGCAACGGCAGGAAAGTACATAAAATCAAACCCTAAAATGTAATCACAATCTAAACATGCATCACATATTTTGATCAAGATCTATAGACAGTCTAGAGCATCAATAATGCTAAAAGGAAGGATTTCAAATTGCCAAATGAAGGAACGAGCAAAATGGAAAAGAATCTCTTTTTGGATGCATGTTATCTTATTCGACGAAATCTTGTATCAGTTACAGATCATTGTATCTGCATAATCTAATTCGTCAAATGAAGTGGTGAAAGTGTGTCGACTGTCGAGTGAATGGAAAACTAACTGAATCAATCAATCAACTATGCATCAATCACGAACATAGTTAGGGTCAGCTATAATGGTTCACCACATCCATTTTTCTTTATTTACGTCCATTACCTTCCACGATAAAGGATCTTTTATATCCAATCTCATGCCTCTTTTTTCCTTTATTACTCTCATCTATCCCTCTGAGAGGATAAGCAATGCGGAAGATGTGCAAGGAAAAGGTTCATCGCAAAGATGCTTATTATATGTGATGTTTTCTTGAAAAATAAGAGATTCAATTGACTTAAGACGACTCATTTTTAAGTGGACTAAGAAGTAATCACTGTAAGGCAAAAATAGTAGTGCTCTTAAAGAAAGGCAGGTTGCATTAATAAAACCTATAGCAGGTATTGCATTACAACTTATAAGGACAACATCCAGCTGATTTAAAATATGTTTTTCATGTAAAAGGACACCAAAATTGAAAAGGAAGTTCCTGACAAGTGGCCACAAAAAAGATAAGGAGAGGAGAAAAGAAATAAAAAATTTCAAATACAGGTAGGAGAAAAAAGTGTACCTTTTTGGTTTTGATGACCAATTCGCCTGCAACAATGCAATGAAGGCTGTATTAGAAAAGTCATTTTACTACAAAAGTGACGAAGAACAAAAAGGCTCTAATCACAAAGACACCTTTATCATCCCAAATGTCAACCATGCCAGAGTCTCCACCAGACAAATCCTAATCACACAAAATTAAGAAGAAATAAACAATGAGGATCCATTAGTCATTTGCACTCAAAAGAATAGATTTTTCTCCTATTGAGAAAAGCACATTATGGCAAGGAAGGATCAGCCATAACATCTTGCACTTGGTGAGTTGAACATTTAAAATGAAATAGTGAACAACCTTTTGACCCTGTTGAGCAGTATCTCTGGCAATCTGAAGTTTACTTTTCTTCTTGGACTTCTTCCCAGTTGAAGAAGGTACAGGTTCAACAAAGGCATTGCTTTGTAGTATACTATCATATCGAAGTACTTTCTCCCGGTGTTTTTCAATTTTCCGTTTCACAGAAAGATCTGGATTGTAGACATAAAAACTTGTCATTTAATCATTGAAGAAGGATTCGCCAACAAAAAACGACAGAACTGCAGTAAAGGGACAAGGAAGATGCACCCATGATGAACATCAACTGCTACATATTCCAGAGATATAGTACTTAAGGTGATTCTAAACTGCCGTCTTCTATTCCTAAAATGTCAGTTACAATCTCCAAATTTCGTCCGGCTTCATATTACACCCAACAATTGGATGGGAATAGGAACCATTGACTGAAAGTAACACCTAAACAATTGTTCCTGAAACGTTTCTGCAAGTCTAAAACAGACATGAACATTCAATCTGCTCTTAAGATTGAATTTTTTCCATAATTACAACTCTATGAGATACCGAATTATTTTGTCTACTTGTCTTAGTACACAATACTCTTGACTGATTCCACCAAAACAAAATTCTGGAGGAGATTATCAGAGCACCCAGTTATTTCCCGTGTACCAAAAAATTACTGTTAAAGAAACAACCATTTTCAAGTGTGGGGCAATCCAGTTATCCAACCAAAAGTAGTTCAGTACATCTGTTGAAACAGTAAATAGCATACATGCCAATCCATCTAAAGACTATATCAACTGCTAGAACATATACCTGAACGCCAGCCTGATGTCAAAATCGGCTTCTTCTTTTTTTACCTTGCTATGTACTTGAACAAAAGATATTTTCTGGAAATTTTCAACCGGGAAAAAAAATGCTGAAAAATAGAATACCTCTGGATTTGTCGACGTAAAAGAGAGAGTCACTGGGAACTTGAGCAAGAGAACCGCCGGAAAGAGCATCTTTAGTGGAGTTGTCAAAGAAATCTTCAATATCCTCCGTACTTATGTTCGCTCTCCATGCCTTCTTCCCTTTCCTTGAACTCTTATTCTTGCCCATCTCTCTACTTAACAAGTGCGGTAAAAGTCATATTGAAAACATGGTTCCAAAACAGATTTAGCATTAATGTAAAATACTCACTTGAGATTTTATACCTCTTAATTCCTAAGTGAACAAGTAGCAAAGTCAAAGAGATGACTGGACAGTGTTAAGAATAAATGTGTCAAGATTTGGCAAGTTAAAACTCTCATAGAATGGGATATGGTTCTCTGACAGCTGCTGCACAAACAGGGAGGGCCAAACCAATCTAGAAAATAATTACCACTAAATTCGTAACGGATTTAGTCTTAACTAATGATACCGTGGGTTTATGAACAGTGAAATGAAGAAAAATAATCGCAAAAAAAATAAAATTGCATAGGAAACTGCTACTCCCTCTATCCCTAATTACTTGTCCACATTTCCTTTTTTAGTGTCCCTAATTACTTGTCCATTTTGACAAATCAATGAAGGACCTATTAGACCCTCAATTAATTACTTTGAAAAAGGTAGAACTTCTTGAATATCCTAAGTTTTTAATTCATCCACTTCATAATTAATAAGGGTAAAATGGTAAACTCACTATGTCAATTATTGTTTTCTTAGTAGGTGTATCAATTCAAAAGTGGACAAGTAATTAGGGACAGAGGGAGTACTTCTTACTCACAACTTAAAAAATAAAGAAGGGTGCTATGTTCAGAACTTCAAAAGGGGCTCATGTAGTGAGTTTAAACATACTTAAGCCATTCAAGACTAGGAAGGGGTACCATTAATCTCAAGTAAGCAGTAACAATTCTCTTAATTGCCAACTCTTTTCATTTTTAAAAATACAAACACAACCAGAGAGCATAGTTTTGAACAAAATTGATCTTTTCTTGAACAAAAATAAAAATCCTCTCAAGTTAAAGGGGAACTTAAATAAACAAAGAGACAGATGTTACCCAACCACTTAACGGGATATGATAAGTCTCTTATGTCACAGATCAACTACTCAAGCATAAACATGAAGGAAAGCTTAACAAGTTTAACAAACTAGACTCGCAAACTAAGAGTGGCAATGGGACCGGAACCGGGCACCACGGGCCGAACCGGAACCGGTAATTCCGGAAAAAAATATGTATACCCGTCCCGGACCGGGAACTAGGTCCCAACGGCTATATTTTAAAAAAAAAAAATTATTAAAATTTAAAAATTAGGAACATTACTCAAATAATATTAAAACTTTTATAATTTAAAGTTAAAAATTTATACTTTTAAATACAAACTTTAAAAGTATAAAAGTTTAAATTTCACACTTTTTTTGATGACAAGGGAAACCTGCAGCCGCTACCCTTTGGGTGCGCACAGGGTAAAACCCCCGCTCCTATGCAATAGCTCGCAAACCACATAGGAGAGGTAACCCGCACTAGGCAAGCCCGATGCGACGAGCTCGACCCAGAAGGCAAACCCCTTGCTTTCGCTGGCAAGGGGTTTCGAACTTGAGACCTCCAACATGGAAGTCCCAAGCCCAAACCACTGGGCCACCCCTTTAAAAGTTTGAAAATTTAAATTTAAACTATAAAAGTTTAAATTTCACCCTTTAAAAGTTTGAAAATTTAAATTCAAACGAAAATGTAATGCAAAGTTTTAAACAAATAAATAAGTAGAGACTAATTACTCACAAAATAAATAACTAAATGAAAAGTGAGCTGAAACGAATGTACCAAACGTCTACTTAAAAAAGTAAACGTGTATGATCGAAAGCCGAAAATTGAATTTTGAAGCTCCAATTTCCAAAGACCAAATTCGTAATTTTAACGAGAATAAGAGATTAGAGAGAGACTTTTGAGAGTTGTTGAGAAAGTAGAAGATAATATTTTTGTGAGTGAAAAGAATGAAAGATAGGGATATTTATAGTTAAAAAAAATGATAAAAATGTAGTTTTTAGAAGGTTGGGGTATTAAAAAAAGTTTGAGGGGGTAGGGAAGTGTAAAAAGGAGTTATGGGGTTGAAAGAGCAATTGGTGGGGACCAAAACCCGTTGCCCAACGGCCATATTTAAGAAAAGAAAAACCGGACCGGAACCGATATTTACCAAACCAGGACTAACCGGTATATCCCGGTTTTCGTCCCGTTACCCCTCCCGGACCCCCTAGACACCGTCCCTAACTGGTACAAGCCAGACCGGTAACGGACCGGGACAGAACGGCAATGGAACCGGGACTTTCGTTGCCATTCCGTTACCGGTCTGATTCCGTTCCAGCTTGTACCAGTTAGGGCCGATGTATAGGGGGTCCGGTCCGGTCCGGTTCGTTTTTTTTTTTTTTTAAATCTTAAATATAGCCGTTTTGAGAGCCGTTGGGCAATGGGTTTTGGACCCCACCAACGGCTCTTTCACCCCCATAACTCCCCTTTACACCTCCCTACCCCCAAACTTTTTTTAATACCCCAATCTTCTAAAAACTACATTTTCATCCCTTTTTTTTAACTATAAATATCCCCAATCTTTCATTCTTTTCACTCACAAAAATATAATATTCTACTCTCTCAACAACTCTCAAAAGTCTCACTCAAGTCAGACTCTCTAATCTCTTATTCTCGTTAAAATTACGAATTTGGTCTTTGGAAATTGGAGCTTCAAATTCAACTTTCAATTTTCGGCTTTCGGTCATACACGTCTACTTTTTTAAGTAGACGTTTGGTACATTCGTTCCAACTCACTTTTCATTTAGTTATTTATTTGTTTGCATTTAATTATTTATTTTGTGAGTAATTAGTCTCTACTTATTTATTTGTTTAAAACTTTGCATTACATTTTTTTTTTGAAACTGGTAACTTAAAACTTTGCATTACATTTTCGTTTGAATTTAAATTTTTCAACTTTTAAAGGGTGAAATTTAAACTTTTATAGTTTTATAGTTTTAAAGTTTGAATTTAAATTTTCAAACTTTTAAAGGGTGAAATTTAAACTTTTATAGTTTTAAAGTTTGAATTTAAATTTTCAACTTTTAAAGTGTGAAATTTAAACTTTTATACTTTTAAAGTTTGAATTTAAAACTTTAAAAGTATAAATTTTTAACTTTAAAATTATAAAAGTTTTACTATTATTTGAGTAATGTTCCTAATTTTTTAATTTTAATAATTAATTTTATTTTTTTTAAATATAGCCGTTGGGACCCGGTTTCCGGTCTGGTCCCGATCCGTTACCGGTCCGAGACGGGTATACATATTTTTTCCCGAAATTACCGGTTCCGGGCTGCCGCTAGCAGAAACATAATAGAGTTCAAATAAATTATAGACTTAAGCTTAACAAGACTGATCACTCATCTCACTGACCTCTTCATACACTATTGATCCTAAATGGCATCTAATGAACATACATCACACTTAGCACTCAAAGGAATTATGAGCAAGTGAGTACTAGGATTAGCTACTGATCTCGAGAGCTAGTTCATATTGTAAACAAGCTAACCATTTCTTTTTCTCATTTAGATCTGATAAAAAACACACAAAGCGTAAACACTTACGAATCAAAACAATAAAGAAGATAAGATTCTAACTCTAGGATTTAGCCCTTCTTTTCATTTTGATGGTTCCAAACTCACATTGACATCTCTATATAGAAGTAGACTAGTAAAGCCTGGAAATGACTGCATGTATTGCACATTTACAATCAGGGGCGGCTGTATGCATTGGAAAATAAGGCACTTGCCTTAGGCCCCCAAATTTGAGGGGCCCCATTTTTTAGCAATAATAAGATAATTAATCAGTACTCTTAAAAATAAAAAAAGAAATGTATAGTCCGTTTCAATCTTTAGTTTAAGACTAGAAGATTCAACTGTCTTATTTACTTTTTTTTTCTTTATTTGCTTTCTTGTATCAAATTTCGGTTCGGTTCTTCGGTATCCTGTTTTGAAATAGTGTGCACCAAATGCCGAATCAAACTTCGGTTCAGTGTTTTTAAAATGGGTTTTTGGTGCAAATGAGAACAAAATTATCAAAATATTTAACTTATAAACCTAACATGAAAATTCAAATAAATACAGGCTCTTAGTCTCTTAATGTCTCTTTTTTGATAACACTCTTCTCAGCCTAGCAGCCTAGCATTCTTCGGTGTTATCAAATATCAACATTCATTATCTAAGTAATAAGTTAGCACTGCTCTTAGAACTATGAACTAACTTAATAGGCTGAACTATGAACTAAATTTATTCTATTTCAAGGTAAACTAACTTAGCAGGCAGCCACTCACAGGCTCGCAGCAGTGCAGCACGGGTCACTTGCACACAATACTCTGGAACACAATAGGCTAACCAGTTGCCAGCACCACAGCAGCCATGCCAATTGCCAATTGGCAAGTTGCTTAGCAGTCACAAAAAAAAAGAAACCTAACTTGGCAAAACACTTAAGCAACAGCAAACCAGCAACACAATCCAAAAAAAAAATTACCAGGCACTAGGCAGCCAGCCCAACAACATCAAACACAAGAAATCAATACTTAAAACAACAGAAATATCTTAAAATTTAGCTTGCTGTTTTGCTGTAGGCAGAGAAGAGAGACCGAGAGATACATACTAAAAATTACTAAGGTGAGACGAGGTAGCTTACAGTCCGTCACGCTGAGAGATTGAGAGTCGACAGACGAGAGTTTTGCTGCGCCGCTGTGCTTGCTGGTCGCCGACACAGTGGCTGTGAGAGTTCAGAGAACAGAGAAGAAAGGGCTGGAGGCTGTGGCCTGTGACTTTTGATTTAGGAATTAGGGCTCCAAATACAAATAGGCTAAAATCTGATATGGGTTCAAAATATATAATTAATATAAGTATTTTAAATTTATTTAATAAAATTTCAGCTTTGGTGCACCAAAAAGTCATGACCCTTACATTGAGTCAAATAACTGAATTTTCAAAAGATAAAATCTACACCAAATCGAAACACCAAAGAATCGAATTTGAAAAATTGAATTTATTCAATTCGATTGTATTTATGTCCACCCCTAATTAAAGGTATAGTTCACTAACTTTAGTCTTCATTTCTAATGTAACAATTATTTTAAGCTAGAATGACAGTTAAAATATGATGAAAGAAATATATATATACACGCCAAAAGGGTAAAGATATCTAGAAAATCTAATTATTTCAGAAAACTAGCAAATCGACTATGGTTTGGATATTTTTCTTTTCTTGCGTTGTTTTGCTTTCCTTGTTGGGGAAAAAAATAATCTAAATATACAATTTAAGCACATAAATAATGCGTTTTGTCTTCACTGTAGTTAATATACATCAATTTATACCATTGAAGCATACATCAATTTACAAGAACCGGGCTAGTAAGGTTGTAGCTCCAATTACTGGTTAATTGGGAAAATCATCATAATGATTTCATCTTTCAGGCACCTCTCAGCAAGTTATCCCAAATATTTTCTCACATATTCAATCGAGGAATTTTAAGAATTCATACACACAAAGATGACCGGAATATCCAATAATTTTAATATGTGACTCACCAAATGAGATGGTTTATGAGAGTTTTAACTTGTAACTTATTCACTCTGGAGTTATGATTGAGATAAAGTTACATATAATATTTATGTAGATATTAAAAAGTTTCATTAAGAACAATCGCTAATTATGCCTTAGCATATTATAATATAAGTAATCCTCTTGAACGAAAAACAAAATCATGCTGATACAAAGAGCATAGAGTCATTTTGACAGAAGATATTTGATCCCCCATCAATAAAAAGCTTAGTGCATCGCGATTCACTAATACATGTACTGTGCATAAATACACCTAGCCGTATCAATTGCCAAAAGAGGAAAAGAAAATGGCATTTTCAAGAACATATGATTATTCTTCTCATATTTAGACAAATCACTCTGATTGACAGCGTTATGGTACAAGACTATGCTTGATCACGGTTTACAACACAACTAATTGCCACTACATTCTAACAAAAGAAAACACGCGCATCCAACCGTTAGACATAATACATCTTCATCCAACTTGATCCATAAACTACATTTTACATCACCACATAACATGAGAAAGTGAGCAACCCTAGTCTTCATCTTCACCATCGTAGTATTCTTCATCTTCGTCGCTGCTCCCATAATAGTAGTCATATTCATCATCATCCTCTTCTTTGTCATATAGAAGCCCTTTTATACTCTTGGTCCTCATCTGCTCTTGAATTCGGTCTCTTATGACAGTTCCCTGTTGAAATTCCAATGCGTATGGTATGATCACAAGTGCAAATATAAACCACTCTCATTCGTGTGTGAGAGGTGCTACTGGAAAACTGTAGGGGATTGAACACCAGATAGAGACAGACAAGAGGAAAAGGGAGGGATGGGAAAAGCGGCAGAGAGATCTTACCATTTTGTGGCAACCCTCTTCAAACATCTCAAGGAAACCAGCAACCAACCTATCAGCATTCTCCACCCAAATATTTCGATGCTTTGCTACTGTTTGTATCTGCAACAACTAGTCTTTTTAACGTGTTTTGTGCTAGAAGACTAGAAATAGCTTTTACTGAGAAAGTGATGGTTCTTCAATGACGACAAGCATCTGTCTTATGTTTATTTCATTAACATACGAAAAAGCTATCGGAACTGCTACATACTGCTCCGTTTTTGTTAACACTGAGTTACAAAAGACATAGTGGGAATAATCACGGAGAAGAAAGAGCTTTCTTTACTCGGAAACCTAGCATATAAGATGAAAAGTAGCTTCGTCTATCATAGTTTAGCACTTCAGCTCACTCTTCAAAAGTCCAGATAATTGCAACTTCCACCATCTCCACCACCCAAATTCTACAAGGTGATAAACTATAACGAATCGGAAATTTATACTCCACCTGTTCCAATTTCCCCGATCATTGTACATTTCAATTTGAATTAGTAATTTTGTGTCCAACTCTAAACAGTCCTTACCAACGTATGCATCTGATCATATATGTACTATCTATTCCAACAAATAATATAAAAGAACGGGGTTTGGATGCATTGGCAGTTCATTCCAATTTATGTGAAGGCATTTGACTAAAAGGAAGCTTGAAGTTCATTTTTTTTTTTAAAAGGATGATTTTGAAACTTGTGGTCTAAAATAAGCTATAGAAATTTACGTGGCGATAAATCATTTCAATAGGGATAAAATGGAAAGTTTGAAGTTAAATTTTACTAAATTTGAAAAGATGTCATTCTTTTTGGGACCAACTAAAAAGGAAAGAGTGTCACATAGAGGAGTAGTAATTAGTAGAATAGTAAGAGGAAAATTTACCCAGAAGTTAGTACACATTGCAACACAACATTAACCATAATCGGATGCAAGCTCAATGATAGAAATAAATATATATACTATCCCTATTAAAAAAAATATATACTTATATACTATTAACCGAGCCGCATCATAATGGGGAAGCAAACCGCAAAAGCTCATGAACACTTCATTACAGTTTGAGAAATTACTTATACTAATTAAAAGCTCCAGGTTTCTCAACAAATGAAACCATACCAGTGTTGATTTAAACAAAAGAACCATCCACCTACTAAAACAAACAATTCGGTCAGCAAAGATATCTACTTATGCATCTAAAAGTGGTTGGACATCACCCTACTCATAAGAAATAGCAACTAAATGCACAAGCATTGATCCAGGCTAATATAGCTAATATGAAAATGTAGCTATTGTTTTGTATCCAAAAGTTCCTATGCATGACATAATACGAATGCTTCATCTCCTTGGGGACAAACTTGACCTTATGAAAATGTTGTCAGCTTTAAATATAAAGGATCTAATAATACGAGAACCTACAAGAACATGTCAGTTGTACAGCGATGATAAAAGATTAGAACACCTAACACTAACATATAATGTTGATATTCCATTATAGGATGTGTTAAACCAAGTCGCCTACACTTCATAATATTCGCCACCACAACAACAACAATATACCAATATAGTCCCACAAGTGGGGTCTGGGGAGAGTAGGGTCTATGCAAACCTTACCCCTACTGCCTACCTTTGTGGGGTAGAGAGGCAATTCAATTGTATCCTCGAATTCAACCTTACCATATATACTATCACATTGTTTTCCGTGCTACCCCTTCATTGCTCAAAGTGTCATTTGCACAATATTTCTATGTGTTCTAAATGCCTTCTATGTGGAGAGAAAATGAATTAAAGAACCATCTATTATTTATCCATCGCAAAGTTACCAGTACTCTGAGGCAGCTCTTTAGTCTTGTATGAAAGGGCTCAAATGGATAATGAATGAAACAAATAGCCAACTATTTATCCATTGCAAAGTTGCTAGTACTCTGTGGCAGCTCTTACCGAGTATGAAAGGGTTCAGATGGATAATGAATAGAACAAGTAGCCACCTACTTATCCATTGCAAAGTTACTTGTAATCTGTACAGCTCTTACTGAGTATGGAAAGGCTCAAATGGATAATTAAGAAAACTGCTGAGTTGCTAGCATGCTGGAATGATCCAGACAATTTTGTAAGGCAGAAGAGATGGTGGAGAATTATTCCTACATGCATCTGGTGGACAATAGGAAAGAAAAGGAATGTGTGGTGTTTTGAAGATGTAGCCGACTCAACAGAAGACTAAAAATATATTGTATATATTTTTGTTTCATTTTCGGTGTAAGGAGGGCCTAGCAGAAGATATAGAGATTATGTAGTTGACATTATTGGGTCATTGTAACTAGTTAAGGGATCGGTTTATGTTTTTTTTTTGGGTTCCTGTAACTATGTTTCTCTTATATACTCTTTTGGTTATATAAAATATGGTTACCTTCTTTTAAAAAAAATAATTTGCACAAACGATAGAGGACATAGATCTCAATATCCTTTTTCCTTGCTTTTTTCAGATAATTGCCAAACTATATTCAAAACCACATATTCTATGGAGATTGGAGACACTTCTGACAAGCTTGTATTCGAAATAGAGAACTGAAAAGCAGTCAAATAATTAAGAATATACCTTCTCTTCCACTTTCTCTTGTTGTTTCTTTACTCTCTCATGCAACTTTTTCAAACCCCTGTTCACTCTCAGCCTTTTTTCCTGAAAGAAGCAATAATGAAATTAATACCTGGCAAAGCAAATAATGAAACAAAATGTAACCTTTGACTCTGTGCCATTGATTCTACTATTATTAGTGAGGAATAAAGCTAATGCTAGCAGAAAGTCTACATCATTCAATTAGCACACTTATTCTTTTCATTGCATTTGCAAAATAAGAAAACTTCTTTCCTGAGAAAGGTAAGGTATTATTACATCACCCAATCAAAACACTAAAGAGTATAATACCTTCACATAGCTCAGACCAAGATCCGTTCTTGAATATCCTCGGTCCAAATTGCGCATCACATATTCATTGTAGTCTTTTACAATCCTCATTATTAAATCTGAAGTAGATATTCCATCAGTCCGCTTGGTCTCCAAGAACTTACCAATGGACTTAACCTAATAACACAGGTTTTAAAAATATTCACATTACACATGGCTTCACAGCAAGCATTAAAGAGTGAATATCAAACTAGATATCTTATACTGATTAATAAAGGATCAACAATGAGCAAATTAAGACTGACTTTCATACAGCATGTTAAAAAGATGAACAAGTTGCAAATCACCCTGGTTTATGCACAGAAAAACTCTGTACAGACACAAACTAAATTGTTTAAAAGAAACATCAAATGAATAAGGTAAAAGTCGCGTATGAAAACTGAAGTTCATTTTGGACTTACATACTCGTAAACGT